TCCTGTCTCCCCCGTTGCTTCCCTCAGCTGTATATTTCAGTAGATCCAGCTGTTTTGCACCCCACTCTGTTTCTGTGCATCCTCTCAACCCCCTGCCCCGCACCTCTGGTCTGTACCCCAGTTCTTGTATGCATAAATAAATAAATATATTTTAAAAAGTGACATAACACAAACTTTCAAAAATTGGGGGATACCTGTATCTCAATATCAAGCTGCCTAGAAGGAATGGATAGGAAGACCCCATCTGGGATTGAAGCTATGGGAATATGACTAGGATGTTTAAGTTATGGGGTCCATACCTAGTCCTCGAGAACAATGAGATCTGGGAGGATGAGGTCAGAGATTAATTTGGGGCAGGATAGGAATGGAGAGAGGCGACCTTATGCGGCCTTGACTACGGATATGGGTTTCAGAGCCCAGACACACCCAAATGGAGTTGTTGGTCACCGGTGAGGGGAGCAAAGGCTGCAGAGATCTGCAAGATGAGCTGGCGGGAGGGGCGCCAGACTGGACCTGGGCCCTGCAACATCTCGTATTTCCTTTCTCTTTCTGCACCTTCTCCTACCCTTCTAGCGGGGCCTGTGATGTTTGTCAATGCAAAGATAAACCGTTCCGATTTTATGGCGCAAAACCTGGCATTTTTTGAGCAGGCGCGACCCAGCAGTTAATTAAAGTCCTGGCGCTGCCTTAGTGTCTCCTTACCCAGGAGCCTCTAATTTTCACATTTTGCCTTTTTACTTTTCTCTCCCCCACACACTAGGAAATGGGAGCGTCCCCCTGTCGCCAGGTGTGTAGGAGCTACCCCTCAAGGGCTCCGATAATGGACTCGTCCACTCCCACCCCTCCCCCCACCACGTGAATGGGACACACCTCCGCACCCCCACAGCAGGTGGTCCCTTCCGCACTTGATTCGCCCCGCCGCAAATGGTTTCTTCCATGGAAGCAGAGCGCTAGCTTTGCCCCGCCCACTCCCGGCCGGACAGGTAGTTCGCCCCGCCCCGTGACGCCATGGGGTGGTTTTGCCCTCCTCCCCCGCGGGCACTGGATGGTCTCGCCCCGCCCCGTCCACGCCCCGCGCGCCAGCCGCCGCCGCCGTCCGCGGGAGTGGCCGGGCCGGGGCGAGACGGGCCGGACGAGCCCACAGCACGGCCGCCGAGGGGGAAGCCAGGCCGCCCAGCGCCACCTCCCCTCCTCAGCGCGGGTTTCCGCCTCTGGAGAGGAGGCGGCGCCCGGGTCCGCCAGTATCCTCCGCCGGAGCGCGGGCGTCGGACCGTCCATTGTTGCCCGGGGGGGTGGGGGGGCGTGGCAGAGCCACCTCCTCCGGGAACGCTGCGCGCCGGCCTCGCTCGCTCATCCTAGCAGGAGCTGCGACGCCGAGATGAGCGGAGAGGAGAACCCGGCCAGCAGGCCGCCGGTGCAGGACGTGCAGGGCGACGGGCGCTGGATGTCCCTGGTGAGCGACGCCGCCCGCCACCCTCGGGAGGCCTGTGGGGGGGCTGATGGGGGGGGCTTAAGACCGCAGCTGGTTCGCGCTGCTCTCGCTGATTGGGAAACTGAGGGCTGTTGGGGTGGTGCTGCCTAAGAAAGCTGGGCGGGGCGGGCCCAGGAGAGCGCGTGCCGTTGACTCCCCCTTCTGTACGTTCCGCAGCACCATCGGTTCGTGGCCGACAGCAAAGATAAAGAACCCGAAGTCGTCTTCATCGGAGATTCCTTGGTTCAGTTAATGCACCAGTGCGAGGTGAGGCCCATCTCCCGCCTTCTGCCCCACCCAGGCCTGTGCCGCGCCCTTCCTGACACACCTGGACTAGATCTCAGGTCAGGCGGGGCACCGGGTTCCCCAAATAACCTCAGAAAGCGCGCTGGGCGCGAGAATCCCCGTGTAAGGTGCAATATTCCACGGAGGAAATGTGTGTGCGCGTCCTGGGCTTTGTCAGATTGGCTTGGTGTATAGTGAAGCTTAAAAGGAAGCTTTCTTAGGAAATTAGCTCTAAGATGAGGCTCCTTATTGTTTGCTGAAGTACTGCCTAGTCCTAATGGAGTTCCGCCGAGCTACAGAGGTTTCCACAAAGTGAAGGTCAACTGTAGTAGCGCTCCACAAGGAATGCTCAGTTATACTCTATGCACTGGGAGGTTAAACCATAATGGCTTTCCTCAAAGTGGAGGTTCAGAAGTGTAATGCTGTTGGTCCAATACATGACTCAAGCAAAATGGGTTTCCATAAAGCAAGCCTTGCTTCTGTGGCATTTTGTGAAAGTGACACGGTAATACGTTTGCATAAAGTGAGGTTTGATTGTATTGGGGTTTGCTCAAGATGAAATTTAACCATACTGCTTCCATAAAGCAAGGCTGTTCCATAATGACATTTGGTTAACATGCTGATGATGCCCCCTGTGCCCACACCTTGTCCACAGATCTGGCGGGAGCTCTTTTCTCCTCTGCACGCACTTAATTTTGGCATTGGAGGTGACAGCACCCAGCATGTGCTGTGGCGACTGGAGAATGGGGAACTAGAGCACATCCGACCCAAGGTGAGCAAGGCTTGGGGGAGGGGGGGCTAAAGAGCCCTCAACTTGCCCCTCATCACTGCATTATGCCTCTCTTTCCAGATTGTGGTGGTCTGGGTGGGCACCAACAACCACGGGCACACGGCAGAGCAGGTGACTGGCGGCATCAAGGCTATCGTGCACCTGGTGAACCAGCGGCAGCCCCAGGCTCGGGTCGTGGTGCTGGTGAGAGTGTGGGGAAGGAAAAGTAGTCTCGGGTCCCTGTCTGGTGGTATAGGGCTTAAGTCTCAGTGCTATTAACTCCATGGCCTGAGTTCGATCCCCAGCCAGGGAGCTGACCCACATGGCAGAGCAGACCACTTCTGTTTTGCCCGCTGCTCCCCTCAGCAGTGTATTTCAGTAAGTACACCTGTTCTGCTCCCCACTCTGTCTCTGCTGAATCCTCTCCCCCCACCCCGCCCTGTACCTCCGACCTGTACCCCAGTTCTTCCACTAAGTAAATAAATCTTTTTAAAAAAAGAAAAGAGGGCCTCCCCGGTGGCGCAGCGGTTGAGCGCTGGGTTGCGAAGCTGCCCGCGGCCTCTGCAGCACCGGTTCGATCCCCGGTTGCTCCCCGGCCACCGGAGGAGGGTCCCACATGGCGCGCAGACCTCTCCTGCCGCCCGCTGCTCCCCTCAGCAGTGTGCTTCGGTCCTTCTGCCTGCTCTGCTCCCCGCTCTGGCTCTGGTGAATTCTCCCACCCTCCCGTGCTTCTGACTGTACCCAGTGCATGTATAAACAAAACAAACAAACAAATAAATAAATAAAAGCCATGCCTCTATTAAAAAAAAAAAAAAAAAAAAAGAAAAATGGTCTTGGACTCAGCCCCTGTGGTGTCACAGCAGCTTAGAATAGGGCAGAGACTTTCACACAAAATTTCATGTTGACATTGGAGCCAGTAGGGTTCACAACATGTTTGGGGACCAATTAGCCTCCTTTGCCCCAAGGAACGGCTAAAGAATCTGGGGGTGTTGAAAAGCACTCCCAGGGAAGCTCCAAGGTTTTTTAGCTGGGAAATTTTCCTTCTCAGCAGAAGGAACTGATCCCATGCCATCATGTCAGCATTTTTGAGTGACTCTTGGGAAGAGGCCGGCACCCAGATGATTCTTGCTGAATAGGGTAGCAAACGTGGTGTCATGGACTACACTTCCAGTCCCCCACTTCCACATCCCTAGCATGTTCTACAGTTGGGGGCTTTGTGGTGAAGGGTAGAAAACAGTTTGGCACAGAGAACAGGATGCCCGGATGCCAGTTGGACACCTAACAAACTCTCGTTGCCCCTCCACAGGGCCTGCTTCCTCGAGGCCAGCACCCCAATCCACTCCGTGAGAAAAACCGACAGGTGAACGAGCTGGTGAGAGCAGCGCTGGCTGGCCACCCACGGGCCCACTTCCTGGATGCTGATCCTGGGTTTGTGCACTCAGATGGCACCATAAGCCACCATGACATGTATGATTACCTGCACCTCAGCCGCCTAGGCTACACACCTGTCTGCCGGGCCCTGCACTCCCTGCTTCTGCGTCTGCTGGCCCAAGACCAAGGCCAGGGCGTCCCCCTGCCGGAACTCACACCTTAAGCCTCTGCCTTCCTTCAACATTAAAGGCTCCCTCTCTAGTCTCCTGTTTTCTGCTTTACGGCAAAGCCTGACTGGGTACCTCAACCTCAGCCCTCATCTCTGGGACCCTACAGCTCTTTGGGGTGATTCTGTTTCTGCCCATGGTAGGCATACTGGCCCATCAAGCACTGTAGTTCTTGCAGACTCGGGGATCAAACAATAGTGCTGTAGATAGGCACTACCAGTCAATCACTGAAGGTGAAGCCAATTTGGCAACACTGCCCTCTAGCCCCAAGCTCAGGCAAGAATTCCGGGAACAAAGTGTTCTAACTCCATCCAAGCCCCCCTGAACCTGCCCTTCCGTCTGTGCCATGCCCTCCCTGGCACTTTGGACGCTATCACTTCCTGTGGTGGCTTCTTGATCCACCCACCCCCAGCACTCATCCTCTCCCACAGGGCTCTGGTCTGGACTGTGCCTCCCCAGAGACTGTGAAAGATGGGTGTAACTCGGGAGACTCCCTCCAGCCTGGCTGCACTGCCAGCTCAGGCCGCGTGGGGGCAGCAGGGGTCACGCTGAAAACCCTCACAGGACTAACGCCTCCCCACCCTGTGCCACCGCATTGAAGTTTGAGGTCCAGCTGGAGCTTCAGGGTGAGCTGCCCTTCTCACACCACAGTCAAGCCTACCCCAGGCCCTTGCGTGCTGGACAGCTGAGAAACAGGCAGAGGAGGCAGGACCTGGGCTAGAGGGGTGCCTGATGCAGTCAGAGCCTGGCACACGGGGTTCCTCTGATGTTGGAGGGTGCTGGAAATGCTGCCCCCCACCTCACTAGGGGAAAGTATAGCTCCACAGACATCTGGGGAGAAGTCCCCTTCTCCCTTTAGAGTAGGCAGACACACAAGTGTGTTAAACAGCTTTAATTGCGGTCATTGCTTCTCAGCACAGTAAGAAATATTGCACATGATCAACATGTTTTGTTCTGGGGAGGGTACAGGGTGGGGAAATCACCTTCTTAGAAAGTACAACCCAAGTTGGGAGGGCAGAGGGGGTGGGGAGACAACCCTCCCCGAGCCTGTGGCAAAGTGCAGGAGCCCCCACCCCCAAACTAACCTGAGTCCAGCCCCTCTGGGGAAAAAAGGGGTACATGAACTCCCCCTACTCCACAGGCACCTCCCTGTGGCCCACGGCCCGCACTGCCCTCCAGCTTGCAGCCCTCACACGAGCCATTTTGCATAAAGTACAAGTGAAAAGGTCTGAAGGTAACACACTCCAGGTTATATACAGGGGCTCTGTAGAGGGAGACTGTGCCTCTGCTTCCCCTCAGCTGCCCCCCTGTTACTGGGAGGAAGCTGTGGGGGAGGGGGATAGACAAGAGGAGCAGGTCTCATTCCGCCCCAAACTGGAAAGGACGAAATGGCTTTACTGGAGAGGAGGTAACCATTCTGCCCCCCCATTCCTGCCACCTACGTACTGTCCATGTCCTGAGGGGGCTACTATGGGTCCTGGGATCTTCTCAGAGGCCCCTCACCTGCCGGTGGCAGCTGTGGAAGGGCCAGGGGGTGGGGGGGAATTCTGGGGGGGGCCTTCCCAGCCAGGCTGCCCAGGTCCCGGCTCTGGGGGTGGAGGCAGTGGTGGGGCAGCCGGGGCCGTGCCAGAGTCCGAGCCAGGTGAGGTGGGGTCAGGGCCCCCAGCAGGGCTGGGAGTGGGGACAGGAGCAGCAGCGGTGCCAGTGGAGGGCGGTCCAGGGAGGGGGGCCTCGGCTCCTGGGGTCTGCTCTGTGGGAGTGGCCGCCTGCATGATCTTCTGGCGTACCTCCCGGATCTTCAGCTGGAGACACACCTTGGAGGGGAAAATGTCTGCGTAGCGGGCCTGGAAGGCCGCCGTGGCCTGGGCTGAAAGGCAAAAGGGCGCGAGTTGGCAAGGGCCGGGTGTGAGGAGCAGACAAGTCCTGTCCAAGACCCCCCGAGATTCTGAGACAGGCTCACCTGATGGGAAGAAGCCATGGTCCTGGAAGAGCTGCATGACCAGGGCCCGGCGCTGATCCAGGGTGCGCCGCAGGGATGAGTAGGGCACCTTCTCGTATTCCAGCTCCCCGAGCACATCCTCTGCCTCTGTACCTGGGGCAGAGAGGAAGCAAAGTCATGGCTACAGTGGCCCCCTGCCACTGTCTTGAGGGTCTACCCCAGTCCTCAATGAAATCTTCACAGTGGTGCTTAGAGAGAAGACCTGCCCAAGGTCACATGGCAACTTAGGGGCCTGTTAATACTCCAGAAGCCACTCTTAACCTGCTGTCTTTCCTCCCAGGAAACCCACTCCACCTCTCCCCTCTTCAACCCTGTTCCTTAGACTCCACCCCTCTCGTAGGCCCCAGGCCCCCAACTGCTCCACCCGCCTCAGCACCAGCACCTGTCCGGTCGAAGGTGAAGATGTCCCCCTCACACTTGGCACTCTTGGGGGTATTGGGCTCGGAGCTGCAGCTGGAACGTCTCCTGATCTTGCGCTTAGGTGAGGTGGGGTCCTCAGGGGCTGAGTCTAGGTCTGACCAAACAGGAGCAGGCTCAGTGGAGCAGCCCCCCGCCTGCCCCTCACCTACCCCAAGTGCCCGGTGCTTGCCTACCAGTGGAATTCTTCCTTTTCTTGCGATAGGAGCCCAGGATGGCACGGGGTGAGGTGGCCAGAGACTGCAGGGTGGGCGAGGGCAGCACCTCTTCAGGTCGAAACTCAGGCAACTCAGCAAAGCGCTCTTCGAAGTCCACCTCCGACAGGACCCTGCTGGAGAGCCGGCAGGGTCACCTTCCCGGCTCCTCCTGCTGCTGCCCCCTCTCTCCCACCAAGCCCACACACTCCATCCAAGGCCCCCAAGCCCATGCTCACTTGTCCACAGAGTCAAAAGTCTTCTTCAGGGGCGGGGGCCGCACCTTCACCTTCTTGCCTGTGGTGCTAGCTGCCTCCTTTCGCTCGGGGGTGTCCCCGGCGGCCCTCCCACTGCTGCCCTCGCTGTTGCCGCTGCTGTTACCAGAGGCTGGGGCTGGAGCTGGGGCCGGGCTGGGAGGGGTGGGGGGCTCCCCACGGCTCTCCAGGCCTAGTCCAGGGACACGCCAGTCTGAAGATGAGCTGGGGAATTTGCTGGGCTGGGGTGGGGGTGGGCAGGGAGAGGAAGGACAATGGGTTCAGATTAAGAGGGGTGAAACCCAGAAGCACAAAGAGATGGATGCTGAGACCATGCAGGATGCAGAGCCTTAGAGAAGGCCACCCCACAGGGCACAGTGCGGGCAAGCGTGGACAGAAGAGCAGCAGAACAGACAGGCAACCGACCAGGGGGCAGACTCAAGCAAGGACAGGAGCCCCAGGCCCGCTGGGTACTCACCATAGTCTCAGGGCCCTTGGTACTGAGCCGCTCCTCTGCAGGTGGGGGTGGTGGGGAGCTCCGGGGTGTGGGAGCCCAGGTCTCTGTGGGCGGTGGAGGGCCTGGTGTTGTTGGCGGTCCCTCCAGCTCAGACTCAGGGACAGGGGGCTCACGGGCTGGACCAGGTTCCAAGGGCTGCCGGGGTGCAGGGCCAGGCCGCCCAGGGGCACCTGCCTCAAAGGAGCCCACGGGAATGCTGGCGATGGCGGCCTTCACTTTCTGGGGGGCCTTGGGGGTGGGCCGCTGGGCCTTGGGGGCCACTAAGCTGTAGGTCATGGAGCCTGCTGGTGATGAAAAGGGTTCTTGCTGAGCCAGTCCTGACTGGGGCCCATCTCCTGGGTTCCCCAACTCACCCAGCCCTGGGGTGGTCCAGTACCCACCTGTGGCACTAGGGAAAGGACTGGTAGGGGCCGGGGTGGCAGTGGCAGGGGCCGGTGGGCCCTTGGGCAGGATGGCAGCAGCAGGTGGGGTAGTGCTGGTGGCCACGGTGTAGACCAGACCTGGGGGGGCCTGGGATGGCTGGGCCAAGGGTGCTGAGGAGGTGGGTGCAGGGCTGCCAGGGTAAAATGCCGTGATGACCGGACCTCCAGGGGCTGTGCAGGTAGGAGGCAGCTGGGGGCTGGGCACAGGTGACACGCCCACCTGGCCTGGAGCCAGCAATGGGGCTTGGCCTATAGAGAGGAAAACAGGAGAGACAAGGGCCCTAGTTAGGGCCTCAGACACAGTCCCCACAGGGTGCCCAGTTCTCCTGCCAGGCCACCTCTCACCTGAAAGCAGGGGCTGCACAAAGGCAGGGCCACTGGGTCCCAGTGAGGTGAAGCCGAGGGCTACAGAGCTTGTGGGCCCATACGAGGTGACTGTTCCAGCCTGGCTGGATGCAGGGCTGGTGCCCAGGGGCAGCGCATGCCCACCCGCTGACTGCACATAGGTGATTCTGCCACAAGGAAGAGACAACAGGAGTGAGGTGAGCCAGCCCCACCTAAGTCTCGCCCTGGACTGAGGGCTCAACTGCCATTACCTGGTGGAGGAAGGCAGCAGGACCTTCTGAGGCTGTGAGGTGGGTCCAGAGAGCGTGGCGGGGCTGAGGGGGGGCACCAAGCCGCCAGGGGTGCTCACTGGCACAGGAGTCAGCTGGATGATCTGTAGGCAAGGGCACCCACAGGCTGGGGTGAGCTGGGGACCCAGAGTGGGGCGGGGGGGCACCAAGACCGAGGAAAGCGGGTCTAAGCAAAGACAGGAAACACACAATTTGGAATGGAGATAAGGGAGAAAAAGGAAATTACAGCAAGAGGCGAGGACAAGGAACCAGCAAGAAAAGTGTGTAGAAACTGAGGACAGAATGGAAAAAGAACAGGGACGTGAGAAGAGCAGTGACACAGTTCCTGGAAGACCCACAAGACAGAGGAAAAGCAGACACACAAATGGTGGGACACGAGCCCACCACCCAGGAAGGAGATCAAGGGAAAAGGGGCTGAAGCCAGGATGCCCTCACCTTGCTGGGTGGCTGGGCGCCATTCTGCACAGGAACAGAGAAGGGCGGGCTCACCAAGGGCAGCGGCTGGCTGGCCCCGCCACCCCGCACTGACATGCTAGGGGCAGCCAGGGGCACCAGTACCTTCCCAGGCAGCAGCTGAGCTGAGCCACCTGGGGGTGGGGCCTGCACAGGAGAAACCGACTGGGCTGCAAGTTAAGAGGCAAGAGGGTTAGAAGGGAGATGAACAGGCCTATGGCCCCTCTCCTTGTGCTGTTGGGCTCTGGGCTCACCTTTGGGGGGTGGGGCAGAGGGTACTGACTGCAGAATGGGGATGCCAGGAGTGGGTGCAGTGGCGGCCAGGACTTTGCCGTTGGTGGAGGTGCCCGGCGGGAGGGTGAAACGGATGCTAGTGGTGGGTACAGGGCCACCGGGAGCTGCTGCCTTGGTCCCAGGGGTGGGTGCTGGGGCAGGTGCCACTTGAAGCTGCTGGGGCAGGGTGGGCAGGATGTACTGCACCTGGGTGATTCCCCCAGCTTTGCCCAGGGCACCTGGCTGCAGAATGCCCAAGGGCACCGGCCCATTGGGGCCACTACCAGCAGCTGCTCCCGAGCCTGCAGTGGCCCCACTGCCAGGGGCTCCCTGGGCAATGAACTGGACAGCAGGGGGCGCTGGGGCCCCATAGCCTGGGGTGCCCACCAGCAGGTTGGTGACAGTGGCAGGTGCCTTCCCCACAGTGCCCAGTAGGGGTCCAGCTACCAGATGTGGGGCTGGTGAGGACACTGCTGCCGACTTCTTGTCCGAATACACTAAGCTGACACCCAGGGGAGAGCCCCCAGGTGCCCGGGAACCAGTGACTGGCTCAGTCCTGGCACCTGCTGTGTCACTTGGAGACGGCTCTGCCCGGCCAGAGGTGGGGAAGGGCTTAGAAGCAATGGGCACGGGAGTGCTGCTGACAGGCCTCACCACGTTGGTGACCATGGTGGCAGCCGGACGGGACAGGGGGGCTGCAGGGGCCCCATAGGCCAGCGATGGGGCTGGGGCTGAGGGCATGCGGGCTCCACTGCCCTCTCGTTCCTCCTTGTTGGGGGGCAGGACCAGTGTCTGCAGGACACTTCCTCCCCCGCCAGGAGGAGCTGCAATGACTGAGGGGCCTGGTGGCTCCAGGCCCCCCACGCTTTCAGGTCTCTTGCGCCGGAAAGTGGCAGGATCCGTTGGGAGGAATCGAGTGACCTTGGAAGGTGTCACTGGGCCCCCAGCCCCAGCAGGTGGGGGCCGAAGAGGGCCTGCTGTGCTGCCCGGACCTGACTCCTGGGCCTTGAAGGTTCCTGAGCCCATTGAGAAGGATGTGGCTGCTGAGGTTGAGGAGGCAGGTGAGGACGAGGAGGAAGGGGTGGGACCATATCCTTTGCCAAAGGCTGCAGGTGGATCTGGGGGCCCCGGAGGCTCAGGGTCCAGAGATGGACGGCAGTGGGTAAAGGAGGAACGAATCACAGGTGAAAACACCTTTCGGCCAAAGCCCTGGGTGGAAGAATAGACACACGACCACATCAGGGGAGCCTAGATACCCACATCCTGCCCACCCCCATCCTGCCTGGCAACCAGACCTGTGAAGCCTGCATCCCTGCCTGCTGACGGCCTCTCTTCATCCCAAGTATGACCCAGTCTCCATGGGGCAAGTAGCTTGCCCTAACCAGGCCATGAACTCCCGCTCTGTCCATGCACACACCAAATGAATCCCTCCTAGGAATGTCACTGGACAGCACCAGGTCCCAAATTCTCACCTTGTTGCCCTCTGGGTCCTCCCCAGAACTGTCTCCGCTCTCACTGTCCGTCACCCGCTCCTTGCACTTGAGGTCAATGTCAGTGGTGCTGAAGCCATCGTCAGCTGAGAGAGTGGAGGGAGCATCAGAAAGGGGTTAGGTGCAGGATACCCAGGAGGAACAATGTGGAGCCCAAGCTCTGGCCTGAGCTCTGCCCCAAGCCACCAGTGAGCAGTGCCCTGGAAGGCTGTTCTGCAGCCCGGGGTGTGCCCACCTGCCCACAGATAAACACAACTAACGCTAGGCCTAATGGCCATGCCTGTGTAATCCTGGTTTCCTGACTGACCGGGGGCTTTCCAAGGGCAGAGCTACATTTACTCAACAAGGCCTGGATCCAATCTCTGCCCGCCCTCCAAGTCTCAGCCTACAGGACCCTGGGCCCTGCAACTGCTCACCAATGACATCGTCATCCCCTTCTTCCTCACAGATGACCATGCGCTCCTCGTCACTGGTCATGTCCTCGCTGGCCGCACGCTGGGAACGGGAGGCTCGGGTGGGCAGCAGTGGGGGCCTCCCACTGGCTGCCAGGGCACCTCCCTCACCAGGGGCTGCAAAGGGGCCTGGAGTCCCATACTGGGTGGAAGGTTTTGGACCAGAGTAGGAGGCAGGCCCAGACACCATCTGCAAGGCAGGTGCAGGGAGCCTTCAGTCGGGGCTGTCACCTTGGGCAGCCCTCCCTGTCCACCCGTAGCCCAGTAGCCTGCACCCCAGACCTGAGTCAGTTCCTGTAGTGCCTGGCTATCTACTTCCCCACCATCCAGGCCGTGTACCCCACTGTGGGAGAAGGCGCGAGGCCGGGCCGAGCCAGGTCCCCCAACGGTGTGCAAACGTTCTGCCCCACAGGAGCCGCTCCCCAGAGTCTTAGTGTCCGAGCTTAAGAGAGTCTGGGCTGCGACGGACAGGAGCTCCGAGGACACTGTAGAGGGAAGGGGAGTGCTGGAGTCAGGCAGCCCCTCGACAGCCAGACTGGTCAAACCATCCACCGTGAATCCAGGTATGGGCAGAAGCAGCTGGGAATTTGGGACCACCTGGCAGGAGAGAGGCAGCACCCACCAACACAGCAGCTCCTTTCTACTGGTTGCTGCCCTCCAGGCACGAGCACGTCCCATTCTCAAGGAGGCAGCCCTCCGAGAGTAAGAAAGCCCGGAGACAGGCTTTCTCCATCATAATGGCTAATGACCACTGGCCAAGGTCTCAGCGCCCTGATCTCAGAGAAGCGACAACCCCACCCTCAGACTTGTGGGTCTAGACCCAGAAGCTTATTCCAATAAAACACCTCAGAACAATGCCGGCACACCAGACACCCCTACTCGGTACAAGCAGCCAACGAGGGGCTTCCAATTATGTTGGCGAGAGCCAGCCAAGCTGGGATTTAACATCTGGCTCTGCCACTCACTAGTTGTCTATGACTTCAATGATTCTGCCTCACTGAACCTCAGTTTTCTCATCTAAAAATGGGGCATACTTTTAGTAACAGAGATTACACCACACTTGTACCTGGTCAGTAAAAACAGCAGCTGAGAACAAAGTAGCTACCTGGAAATTTTAGTTGTCTGAACCCTCCTAGTTCTTTCATGTGAAATAACCAGTTTTCTTGTGGGTAAAAGTCCTCAAAAATGACAGGACAGAGTAGCTCCTGAAACAAGGGGTAAGCGAGCAAGAGGGTACAGCTGATGGCTCTAGGGAGAGGGGGCAGACAGGAAAGCCAGGGCTCACTAACCTCCAGGGGCGGCAGCAGTGCCGGTTTCTGACATACTCCTCTCCCTCGGCTCCTTGTGGCCTCCGGCTAGCCCCAGGCTTGCAGGCTTGGCCTCTGAGCTGGACTTCTTCCGGTCCTTATTGCACCACTTCCAGTCTGGGTGGGCCTTAAAGTGAGCTTCTTTCACCTGGCAGGAGAGGGCAGGGACTCTTCACTCAAACATCCCACCAAGGGAAGCCAGGGGAAGAGCCAAGAGTGGAAGCATTACCTGGAAGGCCAGGTCGTGGTACTTCTGCTTCTCCTTGGGCCCCAGGGCGTACCACCATTCTCCCAGGATCTTGCTGACAGTCCGGTTATCCTGGTTGGGGTGCCGCTGGTGGACCAAGGCCCGGTGCCGCTTGCTAAAGATCATGAAGGCATTCATGGGCCTCCGGATATGGTCCTTCTCCCGCTGAAGAACAGAGGCCCAATGGGGACAGTTAGGATTGAGGAAACAGGCTTGGGTGGCCACAGGGTGAGCGGGGGGCAGTGGAGATGGGCACCTTGTTGGGGCTGCGTCCATCCTTCTCCGAAGATGAATCTCGTTCCTTAGGCAGGGCACTGAGAGACTGGGTCCGGCGTTTTCCAGGTGGCAGAGGCAACTGAATCTCAGGAGACATGATGGAGAGGAAGCTGTGGTAGGAGCAGCAGAAAAAGTGAGGGCCAGGTCTCAGGCCACCACCACCTCCCAGTTCCAAGTCTTAGGGCACTCACGCATCATCATGGTCACTCTCCGTCTCACTGTCCAGTCGGGGCTCTCCTGGAGGGCCAGGAGCCTCCTCCTCAGTGTTGGGAGGGGGACCCTTCCCGGGTTCCACCACCCCCAAAGTGTGAGTGGGCCCTGGGCTCTCAGGGCATGTGGCTCCAGGGGTTCGCCCAGGGTCAGCATTCCCTGTCCCACCTGGTGGCTGCTCATGAGCAATAGCCGCTGACTCAGCAGGTTCTGGGGGGCAGAGAGGCAGATCAGAGGGCTCTAGGGCCACCCAACCCCATCTTCATGCCTTCCCACAGACCCTCCTCAACCTCTCACCTTTGCTCTGATTGGAGGCCACTGGATGGCTGGCAGGTTGCTGCGCCTCACTTGGCTGCACAGAGGGGTCGGGCTGGCTGGGGGCCAGGAAGGGGACTAAGGAGTGCCAGGGGAACACGGCCACAGAGCGAGGTTCCACGTTTGTCCACACTGTGGGAAAGAACCAGCTGAGCCACAAAGCAGGAGAACCTGGCCTTGACCCCTAACGCAAGTACTTTCCCCTCCAGACAAGGTAGCTCCACCCCTTTCTGACATCCCCATCCCCTGCCCCAGAGCCTCTCGGGCCTGCCCATGCGAATCACTCAAGAAAAATTCCTCTAAAAGGTTTCTAGATTTATAAAAAGGAAAACAGAAGCAGAGAAGGGAAACAGTGCTCACGCCCCACTCCCTCCTCCACCTCTACCAGCCCTGCCACCAGGGACCAGGCCAGAGGAATGACTGGCTCCTGTCACAAACCAGGCCATGTTCGACTGCTATCCCACACTCCCTAGGCCCCAAGATCTCAGCAGGGCTGGGGACCCCCCCCCCCCATCATGTCACATCCCCAGCACTCATGTTGCCATCTGACACAGCCCCTCACCTAGGCCTTACACTCCGTTTCTCTTTCCCGAGACAGATGGCCTGGTTGTCCCCTCCCCTCCTTTTTCCATTACCCACAGATTATGGGGTGTCAGGTCTTTTTCCCCCTACCACGGACCCGAGAGAGCCAGATCTGCCCTTCCTGGGCTGGGCATGAGTGGCCCCAGCTTCTCCCCTTTCTCTCCAAAAACATCCTATTGCCAACAACGAGGCCTCCCAGTCTCCCTCCGCCTAACCTCTGAGCATATCTTTAGTGCAGTGTCCAGCCCCTTGCCCAGATAAAGGGGAGGGTGTGGCAAACTTCTTGGAAGAAAAGTCACAGACAATGGGGCAGACAAGAAAATTGTTACAAATCTCTAATAGGGAAAGCAAACGTGCCAGGTGTTTCCTCTAGGATATGAACAGGAAAGCACTTTTCTTACCAGGGAGCTGACCCCAAGGGTCCTACCTTGGGCCCCAGGCACTGGGTGGTAGGAGGGCAAGCCCTGGGCTGGGACCCAATGCTGGCTGGACTCCTGGGGCCGGCCCAGGCTAACAGAGGGCTTCCCTCTCACTGCTGGCTCCCTGGGGGAAGTGGAACCAGCAGAGGAGGCCCCTGCCTGGGGGAGACGATGAAGGGAGGAAACGCCCTAGCCCTGGTCTCCATCATTCTGAGCCTCCCCCTGATGCACATCAATCTGACACGGGGTGACCCTCCCCACAGTGGCTTCAGAAGCCTGGACTAGGGGAGCTCGATGTGAGGCACCAGCAATGAGACCTAATTCTTCCAGGAGATGACAAAAGAAAAAAAGTAGACGACAAGGAACCCGGAGAGCAGTACAACTGCACTGGAATAGACTCAAACACTACAATCCTCTCCCCTTTGCCTGGGACACTGGGGGTGCAAAGACAGCTGGACACCCCCAACTTCATATGAGCCCCCAGGGATCTTGATCCATCCCTTTCTTCACAAGGATCTTTCTCATCAGGGCCTCCCAGTCTTCTGCTGGGTGGGAGAAGAAGGGCCCAGCAGACAATGGGGGAACAGTGCTTTGGTCCTACCCCTCGTGAACTCCTCCCCAACGCACTGCACTCCAGGTTCTGGAGTCTCTCTCTCTCCGAGAAAAGCACATCCCATACGCCAGCCCATCTTTCAAGGTTCTGAGCAAACAGTGCCTCACTCACTTCGCAAGCAGCTCTTTAGTCCCACTACTCAATCACCACCCTTTCCCTCTGGAGTCCACTCCTTCCACCAGCAGGGCTCACTCTGCTCCCATTCTCGTCGGTGCTTCGAAGCCAGTTACTCTGCACCCCTCACCTCTAAGGACAACGGACCTGTTCCACCCCATCACCTAAACACTACAGCTGTCCCCAGGTACTCCCCACTCCCTGCGCGCTCCCACCTGCCGTCAGTAACCACTTGGCCCAGCTGAGCTCTGCAACTTTCCCCGTCACCCCTTCACTCTGCCTCTGTCGTTCTCCTACTGTATCCCCATCACGGTTACTCCGCACCTAAGACCCCGACACCTTGACCCCTGCAGCCCCAGGGCCCAGGCGCTACTGACCGAACATGCCGAGGCCACGGGAGGCCGCGCCGGACGCGGGCACCAGGGGCCTGTGGGCTGAGTACATGGTCCGGCGCAGGGGGGCCCGGCCGGGGCTCGCGCCTCCTCAGCGGCTGCCGCCGCTCCGCCCGCCGCCGGCTCCTCGGCCGTCGCCGCTCGGGCCCGGGGGGAGCTGGAGGCCGTCGCCGCATGCCCCCCCCCCCCGCAACCCCCCTCCGGCTGCCCCACGCGGGGGTCTCAGCCGGGCGCGCCTGCGCACAGCGCCGCCTGCCTCCCGCCGCCCGGGGGGCGGGGGAGGTCAGAGCGCGCCGGCCCCGCCCCGCCCCCCGGCGCGCGCGGGGGCCGTCACGGGGCGCGCGGCACGGGGGCCATCGGCGCCGCCCCCTCCCTCTCCCTCCTCCCGCGCAGAGCCCAGCGGGCGGGGCAGGCGGGGCGGGGCGCGGCGCGCGTGCGCGGGGGCGGCCCCCCTCCCTTCCCCGCTCGCTGGCTCGCTCGCTCCCTCCCTCGCAGCTCCGGCGGGTAACGGCTCTGGCCCCGCGCGCCCCGGCTGCCGGCGCCGCCGCCCCGCCTTTCCGGGCCCCGGGCCTGCGGCTCAGCGCCGGGTCGACCTCCTGCCCCGGGCGGGCAGACGGACCAGCGTGCGTGCGTCCGTGCGCTCCGAGCGAGCCCCGCGCCGAACCACCGCCGCCTCCCCGCCCCGCCACTACTACGCGCTCCCCTCCCCCCGCCGCGCCTCCCCCCGCCCCTTCCCCGCTTCCCCCGCGGCCTTCCGCGCAAGCCCGGCCCCCGCGCACGAGCCCATTGGTTGCCGCCGCCGCGCGCGGGTCAGGCCCCGCCGCGCCCGCCCCCATTGGTCGCCCCGGGGGAACGTCAGTCATATGCAAATAGGGGCAGGGCGGGGCGGGCTCCGGTTGGCCCCAAGCCGGCCGGGGGCGGGACCGCAGTAGGAGGGTGGCAGGGAGGGCGCACTGCAGTAAAGGCACGGAGCCAGGGGGGCGGTTCGGGGCGCCGCGCTGCAGAGGCCCCGAAATTGTGTGTGCTGCTGTGTATGCCCAGTCCGCGCGAGGAACAGCTCGCGCGCGGCTCGGCCCTCCTCCCCTCACCAGCGCCTGGAAGCGCACAGCCCCGCAGGGGGACAACTGCGTGAAGGGTTGGACCAACCACCCCTGAGCCCTGACCGAGGCTCACGCCAGCAGCCAGCAGCCTCTCACTCGAATACACACAGGTCCCGCTTACAGACTTCGCTGCCACACCCATTATCATTCACACCCCTCACTCAGCCTCGCACTCACAGTCATGCACGAAGTCACACCTTGAACACCTGCTCACATATGTAACTACTACCTTCACGCACAGTCCACTCCCCACCCACCTTCATACCACTATGGGACTCACTCACCCATCCTCTTCAGGCCACCCAGTCCATACATGCCTTGTCATACATGCTTCCCCAACCTGTATGCTCATCACACATCCACCAGCCCACATGAATCATCACACAAACACAACACATCATAGGGGGAATTCTCTCACACACTTCATCACTACCACTGCCTGTCCGTCACCCCCCCGACATCCCCCACACACAACCACACAATCATTCTACCCACATTCTCCACTTTCATGGTGCCCCCTACCCCCATATAGGCTAACTCCTACAGACGCCATCATACTGACCCCACACTCCATATAAGCTCACCCCAATGGGCACTCACTACTTCAGTACCCTGACCCATCAGAGACCCAGTACCATGGCAATTCACAGTCATTTCAACTACCCTGCCAGATACTCAAACGCCACTGAGGACTCACAGAGTCAGAGAAGGGACCACAGGGCACCACCACGGGCTGCCCCCACCACTCTAGGCTGGGAGCCACTTCTTCTAGAAAAAGGTGAGGAAGAAAGGAAATCAACACTGGGGCTGCTATGTGCCGAGAGTCTGTAGGTATTATCCTGTGCACTGAATCCTCATAGGGAATTCAGCCCCATAGCCACTAGGGAAGTACACTTCATGATGCCCATTGTTCAGATCAGAAAATGAGGCTGGGACAAGAGGAATAAATTGTGCAAGATCATGCAGTCAAAACATAACTACCCAGGGCTCCAACTCAGGCGCTCCTTCCACCACTCAAAACTTAACCTCAGGGTAGGCGCGGGTAAGACTCACAGGCAGAGGACAGGGAATACAGTCAGACAATGAATGATACAGAGACTGGTGCGCTTCGGAAAAGTCAGACAGCACAAACAGCCACAGGCAAGGGTCCGGAGTCTACAAGGCAGAGATGCTGAGGTCTCGGATCACCCAAGGGGGCCACTGGGTGAGCAGTCCCCAGTAGAGTCACACTTGGGCAGGTAAAGTTTGCCCAAATGAACCAAGATAGAGCTACACAGGTGGAGTGAGTGACAGGTACAAACCCTTTCCCTGGCATGCCTCCTCCATTGATGGAGCTGAAGGCATGAAGTTGGGACAAAAACTAGTAACCTGAGCCCAGAGGAGAAGAGGAGGTCTGTAACCCTCTGACCTCCAGAGACTGAAGGGTCAGACACTTGGCTGTGAGCCTGAAGGGGCCACCAGGGGGACTATTAGGTGACTGCCCCTCCTCCTTATGCAGCCCCAGACTCAGACCCTCCATTACCTCACTGCCCCAGGGACTGCAATGTGAGGCAGAACTCAAGGCTGAAATCAATGTGGCCGGCTATCTCCCCACCACTGCCCCCTCCTCTCCCTGCCACCGGTGAGTCACCTACTGGCAAATTAACCCCTTCCCCACTGCAATGCTGCCCAGGGGCAGAGCTGAGAGGAACCCTACACACACACACACACACACACACACACACACACACACACACGTTCCCCCACTTCTGTGGGGTAAGAAAAAGCCAGGCCTGGCACAGCAGGGAAAGAGGGCCCCACACATCTGGGAGGGCCGCACATCTGGTAGGAGACACATGCCCACATAGGAGGGATGGGAAGAGGCCCTTTTCAGGGTAGGGTGCAGCCAAGTGGGGGCCCAGCCTGGCAGGGA